CCATTTCTGAAAACCACACAGTTTATGATAACTGAAGAACAATGGAGTACACAGGTTGTGGTGAGATGACCCTCAGGCAGCAGATGACAGGAGGATACACTGCCACAGACGTGGGGTGGGGTGGGGTGAGTCGTCACTGACCATCTAGGTCACACTGAGCTGTTCTGCAGGGGAAGCAGGCAGACCTCGGAGATGTTGCAGGTTCAGTTCCAGACCACCGCAATAAAGTGAAAATTGCAATAAAGCAAGTCACATGAATTTTTTTTTTTTTTACAATAAAGCAAATCACATGCATATAAAAGTTATGTTTCTACTATAGTCTGCTGGGTGTGCAGTAGCATTATGTCTAAAAAACAATGAACATACCTTATTTGTTTGTTTGCTTTTGTTTTCTGGCTGTGCCACATGGTTTTCGGGATCTTACTTCCCTGACCAGGGATCGAACCCGAGCCCATGGCAGTGAAAGCGCCAAGTCCTAACACCAGACTGCCAGGGAATTCCCATATACCTTATTTTAAAAATACTTTAATGCTCAAAAATGCTAACCATCATCTCAGCCTTCAGCAAGTCATAATCTTTTTGCTGTTGGAGAGTCTTGCCTTGATGGCTGCAGACTAGTCAGGGTGGTGCTGAAGGCTGAGGTGGCAAAATAAGACAGCAGTGAAATTTGTGGCATTGATTGACTCTTCCTTTCAAGAACTGTTTCTCCAGTAGCTTACAATGCTGTTTGATAGCATTTTACACGTAGTAGACAGTCTTTCAGAATTGGACTCAGTCCTCTCAAACCCTGCCACTGCTTTATCAACTAAGTTTATGTACTATTCTAAGTCCTTTGTTGTCATTTCAACAATCTGCACAGCATCTTCACCAGGAGTAGATTTTATCTCAAGAAACCACTTTCTTTGTTCATTCATAATAAACAACTCCTTATCCATTCAAGTTTTATCAGGAGATTGCAGCAGTTCAGTCACATTTTCAGGCTCTACTTCTAATTCTACTTCTCTTGCTGTTTCCACCACATCTGCAGTGACTTCCTCGAGGCACTGAAGTCTTGAACCCCTCAAAGTCATACATGAGGGTTAGAATCACCTTCTTCCAAACTCCTGTTAATGTTGATATTTTGACCTCTTCCCACGTCACAAATGTTCTTTTCTTTTTTTTTTTTTACATCTTTATTGGAGTATAATTGCTTCACAATGGTGTGTTAGTTTCTGCTTTATAACAAAGTGAATCAGAGAGTGGCATGGACAGATGTTCTTAATGGCATCTAGAATGGTGCATCCTTTCCAGAAGGTTTTCAGTTGACTTTGCCCAGATCCATCAGAGAAATCACTGCTTATGGCAGCTGTAGTCTTATGAAATGTATTTCTTAAATAAGACTTGACAGTCAGAATGCCTTTTTGATCTGTGGGCTGTAGAATGAATGTTGTGTTGGCAGACATGAAAAAAACATTAATCTAGTTGTACATCTCCATCAGAGCTCTTGGGTGACCAGGTGCATTGTCAATGAGCAGTACTATTTTGAAAGGAATCTTTTTTTTCTGAGCAGTAGGTCTCAACAGTGGGCTTAAAATAGTAAACCATGTTATAAACAGATGTGCTGTCATCTAGACTTCGTTTCCATTTATAGAGCACAGGCAAAAGTAGATTGAGCATGATTCTTAAGGGCCTTAGGATTTTCAGAATGGTAAATGAGCATTGGCTTCAACTTCGAGTCACCAGCTGCATTAGAGAGTCCGCCTGTCCTTGGAAGCTTTGAAGCCAGGTAGTGACTTCTCTCAAGCTATGAAAGTCCTAGATGGCATCTTCTTCCAATAGAAGGCTGTTTTGTCTACATTGGAAATTTGTTCTTTAGTGTAGCCACCTTTCATGAATTATCTTAGCTAGATCTTCTGGATAACTTGCTGGCGTAGCTTCCATGTCAGCACTTGCTGCTTCACCTTGCACTTTCATGTTACGGAGATCGCTGCTTTCCTTAAACTTCATGAACCAAACTCTGCTGATAAGCTCAGACTTTTCTTCTGCAACTTCCTCACTTCTCAAAGCCTTCACAGAATTGAAGAGAGTTAGGGCCATGCTCTGAGTTAGGCTTTGGCTTAAGGGAATATTATGGCTGGTTTGATCTTCTGTCCAGACCGTGAAAACTTTCTCCACATCAGCAATAAAGCTGTTTCGCTTTCTTATCATTCGTGTGTTCACTGGAGTAGCACTTTTAATTTCCTTCAAAAACTTTTCCTTTGCATTCACACCTTGGCTAACTATTTGGTGCAAGAAGCCTAGCTTTTTGGACTGTCTCAGCTTTTGAAATGCCTTCCTCACTAAGCTTAGTCAAATAGTAACATCAAAGATTGCTGATTGCAGATCACATAACAATATAATAACAATGAAAACGTTTGAAATATTGCGAGGATTACCAAAATGTAACAGAGACAAATGCTGTTGGAAAAATGGCACCAATAGACTTGCTCAACACAGGGCTGCCGCAGACCTTCAATTTGTAAAAAAGTAGTATCTGCGAAGCGTAATAAAGTGAAGAGAAATAAAATGAGGTGTGCCTGTATTTATTTGGTGGGTGACAACTACCTAGAACCAGCAAACTTCTGTAAAGAGCCAGAGGAAATACTTTAGGCTAATGGGTCTTTCCATCACAACTATTCAACCCTGCAAAAAAGATATAGAGAATATAATATGTGTAATCGAATAGTATGGCTGTGGTCCAATAAAACTATTGGTTTAGGGCTTCCCTGGTGGCGCAGTGGTTGAGAGTCTGCCTGCTGATGCAGGGGACACGGGTTCGTGCCCCGGTCCGGGAAGATCCCACATGCCGCGGAGCATCTGGGCCCGTGAGCCATGGCCGCTGAGCCTGCGAGTCCGGAGTCTGTGCTCCGCAATGTGATGTTAACTGTAGGCTGCAAGCCCACAGACAAAAAAAAAAAAAAAAAAAAAAAAAAAACTATTGGTTTAGAACTTAAATAGCAATCGTGGGGACATAGATGAGATGCATACAAATCAGTATGGCAGCAGGAAAAACCAAGAGAATGCTTGCATTTGGAGGTTGTCAAAATGTTGAGCTTCCATCAGCTTTTGAATCATAATGGGATTTCAGCTTTTCGTTTGTTTGGTTTTGTTTGTACGGAGTTTAGAATTTGAGAATTTGCTTGCCATAGGTCAGGTCCCAGATGTCCCCAGTTTTCAGTCTCCTGCTGTCCTTCTCTTTGGTGCTTCAGAAGGTATCCCTGCATCTTTTAATGCCTCTAGGCTGTCCCTGGCAACACTAATTGCCACTATCTTGTGAAGAGCACAAGGTTGCTCTATTGGAAAATTCTGGTTGAATGTGATAGTCACTCTGAGTATTTGTTGAGTCAGTGTTCCTTTGGACAAGCACACAGTACACATTTAACTGCCTTTCAGCCATTAATTCTCTGACACCGTGGGAGGGGAGGCCTTGGCCTTATTCTTTCATTATTAGTCAGTGCAAGTTTTGATTCCAGAATGTCATTTGAGTAGTAGTTACTGATCTGCCCTCTCAGCTTTCTGGACACATCCTTACTTTTCAGGACTCTACTGGAGTCACTTCAGATCCTCTTTCTTCGTTGGGGGTGAGGGCAGTGGAGGAAGGAGGAAAATTGGGCAAAGGGTAAGGATAACCCAGTACAACCGTTGAAAGCTTGCCCTTTCCCTTCAGAGCTGCAGTCTTCAGAAAAGCACACAGAGCCAGTGCTGCTTTTGAGTGATTTCCTCTGCTGTGAAGTGACTTGAGTTCTCAAAAGACTGAGATGTTGCTTGCCTGAATCATAGACTGTGCTCCAGGTGGTTTTCCCATGGCCCCTACATCTGGCAGAGAACTGGAGCCATCGCGGTTTCTGAGAAACCTGGTTGGTGAAACGACAGGCCCCAGAGTTTAAGATAAAGAACTGGAGCAGGGGAATTTGGACTGCCATGTCTTGCAGCGTGTGCCGTGGACAGAGAGACTTCAGTTATCGCATCTTAGTGATTTCATTGCTCTCTCCAGAGACTCAGCTGCACCTGTGAGGAAGAAAGGACGCGTTGCTCAGCACTTGCTTCTGAAGTAAATGACGTCTTTCCTAGAGAGAAGACGTGCGCACCGTCTGTGATGTGTGCAGGATCTTGCGGTCGACAGCACGAGTAACAGGCACCTCCAACTCCCTCGACCCTCACACCAACTGTGAGGAGGGGGCTGGGGCTGGAATGTGGGTGTTTTCCTAGGTCAGGAGACCAGAACTCCGGAAGCCCCACAAGCAGGTGGTGCAGAAACATCTCTGGACTCATTGCCCAACATTCTTACGCTTTGCCCTATCACCATGAGTAGAGCAGAACTCAGAGAGTCTCTCATTCCTGGAAAATAAACCATTTTGGCCATAGGGCTAAAAACCCTAGCTTGTTTCAAGAACATTCCCCATCCTAGTGAGTGTTTTGCCTTTATTATTGGCTAATGCAGTGCAGTAAGTTAGAGGGTCTTCATGGTTGCAGCTTAACCCTAGTCCTAGGTTACCACTACTTTCCTCCTACTCAATCCCAACCAACCTCAACACGAGTCTCTGGGTTTGTCCACAGTGTAGAGGCAGCAGTGTTACTGATGAAGAGAGTTTTCCCAGAGGGCCTGGTGCTCCCCCTCCCACCCCTTTGTCTTTTAGGTCAAAATTTGAACATATCTGTTAGTCCGCCTCCCAGCTGGTGTGCTGTGTGTGCTGCTGCTGCTCCGGCTGACCTCAGGCGAGGCATTTGCCCTTTGAAGCCTCCCCTTTCTTTATCTGTCACGTGAAGGCTTTGGGCAAGGTGGCCCTGTTTCACCAAGGCTAGCTTAGCTTTCAGAAGTAGGGACAAGAACTCACATTGGAAATGAACAGAAGGTTTAGGCAGCTTTTCTGCAAGAAGTTCGCACATAGATACTCATGGCTCGCTTTGGAAAGGTAATTTTGTCAAGTCTCCTTGATGACAAGACCACACCAAATTTCTGGGTTCTTTTTTCTCTCTTCCAGATGCCAGTATGGACAGAATAGCTTATGATGCTTATCCCCGCCCACCACTTCCGAGACATTGAGCGGAAGCCAGAATACCTCCAGCCAGAGAAGTGCGTCCCACCTCCCCACCCCAGTCCTGTGGGAACCATGTGGTTTATCCGTGATGGCTGTGGCATCGCCTGTGCCGTTGTCACCTGGTTTCTGGTCCTCTATGCGGAGTTTGTGGTCCTCTTTGTCATGCTGATTCCATCCCGAGACTACGTGTACAGCATCATCAATGGAATTATGTTCAACCTGCTGGCCTTCTTGGCCCTGGCTTCCCACTGCCGGGCCATGTTGACGGACCCCGTGAGTATGTCTGGGCTTGTTTTGACCAGCCCACACTCTCCTCCTCTGGCCCTGGCATGGCCGCAGCCTGCATGTGCCCCCTGACCTTGGGAATGTGGAGAATAGGAGGGCCAGGGCTGGGGTGGGAAGGTGGACTCAGGCCCCACTGAGGGGACCCCAGCTGTACCACAGCCTGTCTTGGTTGAATGATGCTTTCTGTATGTAGGTGTCTGCATTAATTGAGCCTACCATGGGAGAAGTTTGATCTAGAGGAGGCTTAGCCTGTAGTTAGAAAGGCACAGTGAGAAAACCACGAGACTGGGGCCAGATGATCCGAGTGGAAAGCATGCTGGGGGTTGGATCAGGATGGGGCCTCCCATTGAAGATAGGACTGGAGCCAGGTGAGGCTGAAATTAAAGCCCTATCCAGTTCCAGGAGCCTGCACAACAGTGGCCTTTACCTTGTTTGGGCAAGGCTCATCTTTCCCTGAAAAGCTGGATAAGCCTGTTTCAGGCCCTAGCAAGTGCCTCTTGGTTGAGTATCTGTGGGTAAAGCCGCGGTTTTCTGCCCAATGACTTAGCTAAATATACCAAGCTGTGCAAGTGGCTGTTGAGTATCAGATTCTCCGTTCCTGCTCATTATCTTGTATGGGAAAAGTGAGAGAGAGCGTAATTTGATAAAGACTTCCTATGGCTTAATTGTTTCAGTATGTGGGACAAGTGTGTTTAAATTAAGAAAGGGAAAGCACTGCAAGTGGCAATGCACTGGCCACACAGATTTCGTTTCTGTGAGTCCCGGGGAAAGCACAGTAAAAATGCTGGGTCCTGAGCTAGTTCCCTTCTCGGAGGGCTCCATTTCCTGCTGGTTCAGGTGGTGGATTGTTAATCCGTCCCTAGGGAAAGCCACTTTCCCGGCTCGATCACGAGTCAGTGACCGGCCCATATGGCGCCTCTTCTCATGCACATGCCTGGAGAGATCGCACACACTGGCAGGCAGGGTCCTGCTGGCCCAGTGTTAGAGCTGCTCCTAGGATTGTTGAACAGCTGTCACCTGAAGGAAATGAAGTACATGGTTATAAGTGCCCTGAAACACAGGGTATAAACAGTTTTCCTCAGCAGCATCAATTTGATCATAATGGAAACAAATTAAGGGTTCATTCAGAAATTTTTATGGTGCCCTTGCTATTGGGATACAAGAGTAAAAGACATTATTTGTCTCAGCTTATAATTTAGTGTCTGCTGAGCCCCAGGCACTCTTCCTTCTCTTAAGGTGCCCTCTGTCTAGAGGAGACGACAGGTGAGGTTAACCCCGTGTGATGAAGGCTGTGGCAGAAGGAAGCACAAGTTGCTGTGGAAGAACAAAAATTAACCAGTCTAGGCAGGGGTGGCTGCCTGGAGGAGGTGAGGCCCAGGCCAGTTCTTGTCAGAACAGTGTACATGGGCAGGGAAGGTGGAGGGTGATAGGGCATGAAGACACTGACAGCATTCCAGGCAGAGGGAGCAGCATACACAGAGACACAGGAATGCAGGAGTGTGGTTGTTTGGAGTGGTAGGAACTTAGGAGAATGGGTTTGGTTTGGTGATGTGGCCAGAGTGCCAAAGAAGTGGGGTAGGAGTTGGAAAATGGGGCCAGCAAGAGCCCCTGAGGATTTTAAAAGAGTGATGAGATCAGATTGTCATTTAACAAGGATCACTGTGGCAGCAGTGAGGAGGAGCCCTGGGGGCACTGAGGAGTGGGACAAAATGGATGCCGTGTTTATTGAGTACCTACTATGTGAGAGGGTCCTTCTGAGCAATGGATACAGCTGTAAGCAAGACAGACCACAATCCCTGCCCTACTGCTGCCCACATCCTAGCGTAGGGCGTCAGGCAGTAAAGACATGATGGAACAAGGTAATTTCAGAAGTCGAAAAGGGCTTTAAAGATAGCAAAACCGTGTGGTCCAGGGGCTGTGGTAGTGACTTTTCTGGGGCGAAGGAGGACTATTTATTTATTTACTTACTTACTTATTTTTTATTTTATTTTAATTTAATTTTTATTTTATTTTATTTTTCCAGAATCCTAATCACTAGGCCACCAGGGAACTCCTGAAAGCTCATAGTGGTTTGGTCTTGTTTTAATTAATTTATTTATTTTTGGCTGCGTTGGTTCTTCGTTGCTGCGTGCAGGCTTTCTCTAGTTGCGGTGAGCGGGGGCTACTCTTTGTTGCGGTGTGCCAGCTTCTCATTGCGGTGGCTTCTCTTGTTGCAGAGCATGGGCTCTAGGTGAGCAGGCGTCAGTAGTTGTGGCACGTGAGCTTCAGCAGTTGTGGCTCGCAGGCTCTAGGTGCGCGGGCTTCAGTAGTTGTGGTGCACGGGCTTAGTTGCTCTGCGGCATGTGGAGTCTTCCCGAGCCAGGACTCGAACCTGTGTCCCCTACATTGGCAGGCGGATTCTTAACCACTGCACCACCAGGGAAGTCCCAGGAGGGCTATTTAAATGAAGGTGATCTGAGCGCGACCCTGTGTCCCCTACATTGGCAGGCGGATTCTTAACCACTGCACCACCAGGGAAGTCCCAGGAGGGCTATTTAAATGAAGGTGATCTGAGAAGGACCCCTGAGGCGATGCCACTTGAGCTGAGGCCTAAATAACATGAAGGGGTAGGTCAGGCAGGTGAAGGTCAGAGGGCAGTGCCTTGCAGGCAGAGAAGAGGTACAAAGGCCCAGAGATAGGAGCGTGCTTGGTGTGTTTGAGAAACAGGACTCAGACCAGGGTGAACGGAGCATGGTGAGTGGAGGCGAGAGGGGCTGGAAGCGGTGGGGAGGGCTGCAGAAGCCAGGCCGGGCAGGATCTGTGGGCCTCGTGAGAACCTTGGTCTCTATTGTACAGTGAGAAGCCATCAGAGAGGCATGATGTGACCTGATTTTTAAAAAGACACTGCCTTGTGCTTGCAGTAGGGTTCTGAGGTGGGGCAAGTAGAAGCAGGAAGATGAGAGTTATCGCAGTGGGCCACGCAAGACGTGGTGGCAGCAGCTCAGACCAAGGTGGGAGCGGTGAGGCTGGGAGAGAGAAACTTTTGGATTTGGAATGTATTTTAAGCCCCTAATGCTCCGGCCTGGCTGCACATTAGAATCCCTTGAGAAGCTTTTGAAAAGTACTGATGCCTTGGGCCCCATCCCCAGAGATTCTACTCTAATTGGTCTGGGATGGGGCCCTGGGATTGGGGTGCTTTAAAGCTCCCAGGTATCCCTCATATTCATCCAGGTCTGAGAACCGCCACTCAGAAGAGTGACAAAAGGGGAGAGGGATCAGAGAGTGTGCCTTCCAGAGTCTTGGCTGGAGTAGCTGGGAGATTTGCTGGTCCCCTTTATTGAATGGGAGAGTCTGGGGAGAACAGATTTTGGAGGAGAAATCAAGACTTCTATTCTGGCCAAACTGTGTCTCTGTTATGTGTAAGCAGAAGTGCTCGCTGGGCAGTAGACAGCCAGGTCTGGGGCTGGTGGGGAGTTGGAATCAGAGAGTAGAGTGTGGAGTTTACTGGTTTCTAGAAGGCATGTGAATCAGGGAACTGGATATCGGGTGGGAGGGAGAAGAGGCTTCTGCCCTGGCCTTCCTGCTACCCTCACACACGTGTATTCTTTGACCTCCACGTTGTGCCCTCTCCAGGGTCTTCCTCAGTCTGGCCCCTCGCAGTCGGATGCAGGAGAGAGTGATTCTCACTGTATGTTGCTCCGCTTCCAATCCCAAATGAGAGCCACAGACTATATCCCAAACACCATTCAGCTTCTCATAGGTGTGTTTTGCTGTTGACCTGAAAGAAAACGGGGCAAAAAAATAAAGCGTCTGTCAAATATCTACCATTAGTAAGGGGAGCAACTCAAAGCATGCCCTGCAGACCTGCCCCATCTCAGGCTCTTCATGCTGCCACCTTCCTCTCCCCATTCCCAACATGTGACATCTTATGCAAAACCCAGTACACAAAACAGAGAGAGGTGGGGCTGCAGAGGAAGGAACCCCTGGGACACCCCAGGCTTCCAAGGGACGGAGTTGGGGAGCCCAGATCTCACACTGAAAGCAAGTCAATTAGGGGTTCCTTATTAACACTGCAGGCAGAGTCTGTTTTTAAAAAGGCATCACTGCAGGATTCTAAGGAGTTCCCTAATAGGATTGTAATGTTTTGTATCTCAGGAATTCATGTTGTGTATAATTTTTCAGAAAAGTTTATATCTGGAGGTTATAAACAATGTATAACAATGTATGCATCATGTATCACTTTGGTTTGTTAATAGTACTAGTAAAACAAAAAACAAAAAACTCCTGCAGTCTCCCCCAGACAGTTACTGGTAGCCCTTTCAGCTTTGAAATTCTTATTCCAGATGTAACATCAGAACAGTTGCAACCACTACAGCTTTCTGGACCATTTAGCAGTCATTTACTCCAACATAGTAGTAAGTGGGTCCACAAAGAGCTTGAGCAGAAAAGGGAAGGAAGAAATGACTTGGAGGTGGAACTCCCATTTGAGAAATGGGGTGAAAGGGATAGACAGGCCTGTAAGAAGAGGGAAGGGGGCAGGTGGACAGAGGGGCCGTACCTCACTTGGCAGGTGTGCTGGCCTGGAGGTGGCATGGTGTGGGCAGGCGCCCGAGTCAGACTGGTGTTTGATTTCAGGCTGCCCTCTCCTTGCCTGCTCTGAGGTTGTGTAATGTCTTCAAAGGAGCTTTCTGTGTTCCTGAAACACTTGAGACGGTGCAAGGTCGAGAGTGGCTCCGCTTGCCTGGAGGAGGCAGCCTCTTGAAGACAACCCGGGCTCAGGGACTCTTTCTGACCTTGGTACCTGCTCTGTCTCCGCGCCCCATCCCAATTCACCACCTGACCTTTTCCAGTTATAAATACATTTTAACTCCTCATCCTGGGAACCCCCTCAGGAATCCTGAAGGATTCCATTTAAAATTTAGATCTGGGACAACGCCTGTCTCCCAGAAGGTGCTTAAAGCTGAGAGCTTGTTTCTTTTTGTCCTGGCTGCTGAAAGCCCAAAGCCAAG